ACGTCGCAGTCTTGGCATCGAACGCTCGGGCGAGGAGACATGCGAGAAGATGGATGGCAATGGATGAGTCGCTCGAGGTCGCTGCTGCCCATATTGACGTGCAATCCGCACCTACAAACTTTTTGAAAGGTCCGTCGTTTGTAGTGCCACGGGGATTGATATTCGGTTGCTCCAGAATATCCGTAGCCCGACGACCGTAGGCTTGGAGGAGTGCAGAAGTATCTGTAAGCATCTCTTGGAAAAGGAATCCCAGCGTGCAAGCGATCCTATGCGTTTGGCCATCCTCAGCCTCTTTGCGGCGCTCTATCGTCAACGCAGTCCCAATCGGAGCATACTCAGGGTTCGCTTGGCATCTGAACAACGAAAAGTCCAAATTCACGCTTATCAGAGCGGCAGTATTCTCATTCGTGAATGAGGCAACAGATCCTTGAATTTTGCCGAAGCTTGCCATAGTCTTGAGTGCCAACTGTGCGGAGATGACAATAGCGTCACGAATCTTACACGCCTCCGGGTTCCAATCAAAACACTGTTGATATTATGATGGCTCGAGGACACGACTGAAGACGACATAATTCCATTAGAGATGAAGAAGGCTACGACTCGCAAACCGCACAGCTCATGCCCCTCACGACGCCCCCACCGGCACGAATAGGCGCTGTCCAATGCCGACTCAGCTGACGACACAGGCAGCTGAGGCAGTGCAAAAGCGGTGAGCCGGCAAGGCAGACAGCGAGTGCAACATCAAGTACCAGGAGGTATACCAATTTAATCGCAGATTGCATGATGGCGGTGGTCGTGGAGGCGGTGGCGGCGGCGGTCGCGGTGGTTGGTGAGGCCTTGAGCATTACAAAGAGAAGAAGCATCTAAGCGCAAGGGAAGCCGAAGTTGGAGTAGCTCGAGCGGTAAAGGCAGCGATGAGAAGAGAATCAGCACCCAATCTGATTTTTAGTAATGCATTTTGTCAACAGTCGCAAGCGGCGTGATAATCAAGGTTGACGATACACCAGTAACTAGAATAGTTCCTCTGAAAGCCATTCCGGATATTCTAAAGAACAATTTGCTATTAAGCTAATAGCAAATCTACCAGAGTCATAACTACGCATGATATGTGAGACAGTCGACAGAATATACACTTTTTACCACACCTGGACTAGGTCGGAGCTCGAAGCGAGTCGACTACTCAAGAATTTTCTATTGCTCTTTGAAGTGCAATGTGTTCTTGCAAGTTTATAGAAACAATCCTGGGGTTGGCCTGATTGGATTGACTCATACTAACAATGAATTGAATGACCAGTGCAGTGACTACCTGGAGTTTGTCAAAGGGTGCACTAACGTCGCTTGAGGCTGCAAGTCATAGAGGAACACAATTAAATATCGATCTTGAGGAAATTGATCTTTCCATTGTCAGCTCATAATCAATCGTCAACTCTATTATTCGCATCACATCTACAAGATGGTAGGAATAGCTGCCAAAGTTCCTCTACCATTCCAATCCAATGATGACGCCGCGGATCCTTTGCCCATATTGGACGAGTTTGAAGTCAGCGATCTATCCGCAGTTCTCAGTGGGATAGCCAAAGGTACATATCCCAGGATGGATGCTATCCCTCAGGCATTAAATGCCTACAATTATCGCAAAATAGTCCAGGGAGAGCGCAAAGTATGGGCTTATTTCCACACTGTCACTGAGGTATCGGACAACATGAGCCGTCAACCGCCTGATATCATTCTCGATGATAAGATACTGAACGATATAGACATGGAGTACATCCCTCTATGGCCCTTCAGCCGTGATGCAGCTAGAATAGCGGCAGAAGCAAACCCAGTGCCAACAGCAAGCTATCGTCTCATATGCTTCATACACAAGCACAGGATCAACATCAAGAACAGTACCCAGAAAACGGTGTTTACCATCAGCATTTGGGATCGAGAGGTATGTTCGAAGGGTTCAGCGCTGAGCATGAATAAATGATTGATCTTACGCCTTATTAGATGAAAGAAATGACCTGGCACGACACGTACCCTTATGGGCGGGCAAATCGACGTAAAGCCATCAAACATTTCTGGCACACCGTTAACATGCCAGCTTCTACCAAAACGTTCTCGTTATCGAGAGAAGAATTCGTGACAAAAATCAGATATCGGACCATCTATCACACCTGCGAGAACATCGAAGCAGCGCTCCGTGTTGTCGTCGCGCCTCGCAACACGTTGTGGGGCGTAATGGGCATCGCAATACATCACATGAATCACATGGCGACCAAAAAGTACGCCTGTCTCGTCCCCGACCACATCGAGCTGTTTGGTGGACAAGGGTACGAGTTTCTGCCGCAGCTGTTCGTGCATTTGCTCTATCTATGCTTGAGATCGCCTTGGCAGAGACGCCAGGGAAAGGTATTTCAAGGCCCAGTCCAGATTCGAGCGCCGGATCATAATGAGAAGAGAATGTTTGTCGAGAGATGTCGGATTATAGATCGTCTGCCTTGGATGAAGACTCGCGTGCTTAGACAGCTTGTGGAGCGGATGGGAGAGAATTCGAGAGACGTGAGGTGGTTATCGCCGTTGTTGCGGATCACTGCCTCTGCTGGTGCCGCTAGAGGTGCGTGAAGGATTGCAAGAAGAATGGGAGGACTCCAGTATCGGGGCAGAGTACGAAGTGTGAATGGTCGCTGAGTCGTTACCATAAAAAAGATTCTGGGCGGCGAGAAAGTCTCAGTATGATTGAATGCGCCCTGCTCTCATAACCAAAAACATACTGGCGAGAATACGACGTTCCCTTCTGATATGAAGACATAGGAGACCGTTGACAAGGAGCAATTGGAAACCACATCATTTTGAGGCTCAATGAGGTATATTGATGCACGAATACTATGACCTAAGGTACTGCCCAGTCTCTCCATTCCCAACCGAAGTAGACGTCATCAATCCGATCGCCAAATCAATATGGTTGTCGAGTGCAGATTAGATTTGTAAGTGCGTTGGAGGTGAAGGATGTCGACGCAAACATCGATGGACGTCGAGCCTGGACGAGGCAGTAAGAATGGCGATGTGACGGTAGTCGTGTTCACTATTTCGGCTAAAGCATAAGAGACTTGTATATGCAAAGCGAAGTAGGAGAGTCGCAGTGAGGCCATAGCCTGGCCCATAGAAAGTACATAGAGCAAAACATGCTAACGAGTGACGGAAACGGGAAACAGAGAATGATCAAACACCCGACAAACGTAAACCATTGCGTGAGCATGAGCTGTATATTTGATGTAAAGCTGGAAAATTGCGGTAACGACTGACATCTCAAATCTCTTTGATCGAATCGCGAATGGGTGTAATAACAAAGACGGACCTCACTATCCCAGCGTCGTCAATGTCTGTAACGGCGCTCAAGAACTGGTGTTTCGGTTCTCATTCAGGACGACCGAGACGCTTGCCGAGTTATTGTAGATGTTGTTCTCTTGCCACTGTGTCGACGAGACTCGGTACAGTGGGCAACAATCAGGGCAGGTGTACACTGTTATGAGAACAGTCTCGTCGGATTTCTTGTTGGACTTTCTGTCGGACTGCCCCTCGTCCTCATACATGAGGATCTCCCGCTTCCTGGTCGCCAAAGGGTGGTCTTTGCTCTGACTGAAGAAACATTCCGTGCCCTTGGGGACGGCGTCCTTTTTCTTTTCGGATTTTCCTTTCCCCTTGTGCTTGGTCATAGAGGGCCGAGTGTGAACGTGACACAAGAAGCGGGGGTGTCGCTGGTGGGAGTTAGGATATTGCTTGGACTTGGATGTTTTGAAAAGTCGCTCGATGGAAACTGTGTTGAAGGTAGAGATTGAATCAAACATGGAGACGGATCGGCTCTCTAGTTTTATACACAGTTGCAAAAGTGCAAATATCTGCAAAAAACAGCTGATATGGTCGCGAACCGCTGTGCCTGTGACACAACAGGCAGCCAACTCATAGAAATTGAGGAGCGAATATGCATATTGGGATGGAAAGGGACAAATTGTACAACGTTAACCACCACAATGACACAGGCCAGATAACAAGGTGGTATTCTCTGATGGGCTTCATTATGATTCGTCCTAGTTCTTTTCGTACTGCCGACTGACATGAGCTAGGCAACCAAGGCTGCACGTCCCATCTTCGCTGATAATCTTGCGAACAAAGGATTTGAGGCTCTTGAAGAACCACGTGCGCCGGCCAAATTGTTGATGTTGGGTACACGAGAGCCACCAAATCCACCAACTCCCCGCGAATCCAGTGCTGCGTTACACAGGAAGCCGGGGTACGCCACGATCATTCGGAATGGAGGTACATAGGGTAATGGTTTCAAGCTTCAAACATGTTCCGCCTATACATACTAAGGGTATGTAGAGTTACATTATGACATCCTACATTTGCCTTGAGTCTCTATACCTCGCTCCCTTACATGACCGATCTGTTGAGGCTCAAATCATGATTTCGATGCGCGTCTATGTAACACACACTCATGGTTTCTCGCCGATTCGCCCGGAAACACGGAATGTTCCATCGCGTCAGATATGCTGTTTCTACATACCTATACTCTTGCCACCCTTATCGAGTCATCTGCCTGCACTTTCGTCCTGCACAAGAGGCTAACTATGAGACACAACCTTCCAAGGTGGAACTGCAGACGGAGTCGTTGTATCGAATGCCGCCTTCTTGGAATGCGTCACACAGTCAATTACCGCCTTTGCGGGTTATATTCACACGTGAGTCACGTGAGTCTCTCAGCCACATGTATGAGTTCTATTCCCTTTTGACTTGTTCCCGTTTCGAAGCAGTCTCGGAAGCATGACTAGAGCCTTGCAATAACGTTTGTTCTTCCAAATATCTGGTTCTTTCATACGGGAAACTCCTTTGACTTCGCACATGGGTCCAGATACTACGAGCCCGGAGACCTCGCAAGAGCTTCACTCCCGCCCCGCGGATGATCCGTCGAGGTTCTATCTATAGTATCAGTAACAGCATCTCTCTTCAACACAATAGAAGGTCGGTTAGCTCAGTCGGCAGAGCATCGCAATCACAATCATTATATCCATCTTGATGGAACAAGATGTAACTGCGAAGGTCATAGGTTCAAGCCCTATACTGACCATGCTGAGAAATTTTTAAATTCTCGGTGCTTCCCTCCTTTGTACCGACGACGCATCTGCAAAGCGAGAGACGAAACAATCGTTGTGGTCTATTAGACAACAAGATTTAGTCACTTTGCAATAGCGCAGTAGCACGTAGCTGCCTCGTAACATATTTTTTAGATCAGATATACCTTAGGTATAGGTAGACTTGGATATCTTTTAGTTTTGTATCCTAATTAGGTATTCAATGTTAATAACAATTGAGTTGAGTTGACTTTAGGGTAGCTTGTCTTGCACATTGAATGCACTGAGTTTGAGTAGGTACCTGACTGGTGTGGATAGTGGGGCGTCGGCCACTGCTGTCCAACCCGTTCCAGTGCATTTGCCCACCTAAGGTAGCGTTCAGCGCCCAGGGGACGAGACCCTGAAGGTCACTACGGCATCCCTGAACGACACAGCGAAACCCGTCGCGTCATCTATGCCTTTGACAACACGGCGAAGCACAACTTGGAAACCTTCGACCAGCTCGCGAGGGTAGAGTCTCGCGTCCAATGCGAGCCTGTTGCGCCCATTCATTCAGGTAAAACAATAGCACAATTGGATTTTGGCGTCGTCCTCACCTATTCTCACTAGGTACCCTTGAGGGTGAGCTTGAAGGACCCAAAACGGCTACGAACTCGCCTAATCTGACGTGTAGCTACCTACAACCTATTCGCTCCGTGGCAAGATGTCCGAATACGACTCGGGCGATGACCTGCTCGACGACGTCGATGCGGATGAGTTGGTAGTTTCTGGTGGAAAGCATGCACTCTCATCTCCCGCAAACGGGAGTTCCAACAAGCGAGTAAAGCTTGATGACGACGCGGATGGAAAGCGGAAGACCATTGAGACAATCGCCAAAGCGCTGCTGAAGAAGCGCTTCAGCTACGATGATTTCCGTCATGAACAGGTTGGGTCTCTGTATCTGACAACTGTTGCCGACGCCGTTGCTAATATGTTTATGGTTAACAGGCCGGTGCTATCCATTCCACTTTGATGGGGGACAATGTACTCGTCATTTTCCCGACTGGTGCTGGGAAGTCGTTGTGTTATCAGGTGCGATCCTATTGTCCTAACACAGCGAGCTGAAACTTATACTGCGCTAGATTCCTGGCATTTCCTTTGAGAAACTGGACGCAGCTGGCTTGACGAATCGGGACCCGAAAACTGCAGGTAGAGGCTCTGGACTCACCGTCGTTGTATCACCACTCATTGCTTTGATGAAAGATCAGGTCGACGCCTTGCAGAAACGTGGCATATCAGCTGCGTGTCTGGATTCGACCAAAACTTTTGACGAGCAGAGGGAGATCAATAATGCCATGCGAGAAGGACGGCTCCGGATTCTATACTGTGCACCCGAAAAGCTTAACAACGAGAGTTTCGTTCAGACCATAATGCATCTTCCTGGAGGTATTCGTCTCGTTGCTATAGACGAGGCGCACTGCATCTCTGAGTGGGGTCACTCGTTTCGGCCAGACTATCTCAAAGTCGCACGATTTGTCCAAGAGACCAAAGCTGAACGCGTCGTGTGTCTCACAGCCACTGCTACGCCGCGTGTTGCGCAGGATATCTGCAAAGCCTTCGATATCCAGGAATCTAGTGTATTCCGCACACCACCGTATAGACCCAACTTGGAGCTAAATGTTGAAGCTCTTGCCGAGGTGGACGAGAAGTTTCCGAAGCTGCTACATTTTCTCGCAAAGCACAAAGGCCCGACTCTTGTGTATGTCACACTTCAACGTGAAGCCGAACAACTTGCAGAACAGCTTTGCAGACACAAGCTTAGTGCGGCTGCGTTCCATGCTGGTTTACCCACCCCGGTGAAGACCAAGCTCCAAGACGACTTTATGGGTGGCAATGTCCGTATTGTTGTGGCTACTATAGCCTTCGGCATGGGGATTGACAAGTCGGACATTCGGAACATCGTCCACTACAATATTCCGAGCACTATAGAGGAATATTCTCAGCAAATTGGAAGAGCCGGAAGGGATGGACATCCCAGCACTTGCGTGGTGTATCTGTGCCACGGTGATTTTTGGTTGAGGGAAAACTTCGCACGCGGCGATTTACCTTCTCGACAATCCCTTCAGAAGCTTTTCGAGGATATCTTTTTCAACCAGCAAATCGCCAAACTTCCAGATGGTAGCGAAGTGATCAAGCTCTCCCAACTCACGCTGGGTAAAGAGTACGACATTAGACCAAGTCCGTTGAGTATCATCCTGGCAACAGTTGAACTCCGGTACGGATTGATCCGAGCTATCACCCCCGAATATAGCTCCTACCAATTCGAGGCCACGCCTTCATACTACGGCATTGCAAAAGCTGATAAATCTGCTGAAGCAAAAGCAATCGTTTCGCATGCCAAAAAGGCAAAGAAATGGTACCACATCGATGTCAGCTCGACAGCCAATCTGTCCAATCTATTCCGCAATGATATCATCAGAAAGCTCAATGAGCTTAGCGACAGAGGTTTCATCAAGCTGAAAGTAGGCGGTGTCGAAAACCGCTACAAGATCCTCAAGAAACTGCCAGCGACGCCAGAGGAAGTCAGAGTCATAACTGACCAGTTGCATGCGGAGTTATCCAAGAAAGAAGGCGATGAAATGAAACGTTTCGAAGCGGTCGTTGGGCTGTTCTTGGGCCGTCAATGTTTTGCGAACGCTCTTGCCAGCTACTTCGGCACGAAACTACCTTCAGGAAAGTCCAAATGCGGACATTGCTCTTTTTGTATGACAGGCAAACAACTTATACTGCCCGCGAAACCCAAACCTCCCATCAATCTTGCTGGAATTCGCAACATCCTCGCGCTTTGTGACGTCCGAGACGACCCCAGGTTTCTGGCTCGGGTTGCATTCGGCATCAGGAGTCCGCGAGTCTCGCAGCTTGGACTGGACAAACAGAAGATCTTTGGATCTCTGGAAGACCATGATTTCGAGGTAAGACATGAGCATGCCTGGCAATGGATTGTGTTTTGACTGACTTGTATTAGTCTCTATTGAAAGAATTTACCAAAGCCTGCGAGGCCTCTGGATATGAAGCCTAGTGCTCATCTTCGCTCTACCATGATCGCTGGCTTATGGAGTAGTATTACTCCATGTGTGCTCAAGTCACTGTCATATGTTGGGGCTCCCAACAGCGAGAGAGAGGAGCTACAGAGCGCAGAAGAAAGATACATTGGCGCTTGATCTGGATGCTTCTCTAAACAAGCCGGAAGTACACGGAGATTGAGATGAATATTCACGGTGGGATAGTAGGCAATTACAGGACTACTGATCGCCTGATGTCTGATGTTTGAGTCAGTTGTTGTTATAATGTATAAAGCGGTGGACATGTCCTATTTTCCAAACCCCTAGATAATGTCGCCCGCATCTCGCCATGAACGTGGCCTGCTTGCACATGACTTCAGCCCCAGGTTGGAGTCTCGCCCAAGAAGCAGTTCGTGTCTCCTCTAACGATCAAATTCCAAGGATTGGTCGTAATGAGCTAAGATAGCCAATGGCGGGCGTGTCAGTCGGGGGCCTCAGGGTGTCCCAATGTACAATAAATACAAAAATAATAGTTAATATCAGAAAAACATCACGTACCTGTCCCTGAGCCATGCTTGGATCGTCGGGCATTGGGCAAGAACCGACAAGATAATTCATGGCGTCGGCGATTTCACTGCTCCATAACTGGATGAAACCCAAGTCGTCGTTGCAGACGACGACCGCCGCACCTTTGCCGCACCAAACTTGTCGGCATTGCTGTGCCGATATAATGACTTCGTTCTGCCACCCTTTGATTACTGAGTATGCGGAATTGTCGCCGTCGTGTAGCAGTGGTTGAATTGGAGCAGGGGGCCAACGGTCTAGGGTTTGTTGACATGCTGCATATCCCTTCCCGAGGCAAGGCGATTGATTAGTGGAGGATCACATATTGTAGAGGTATGTGGGAGTTACTCACATACTGACGCTTCGTGATCTGTTCTCCGGCGGTGTTTCGATTGTATTGCTGTCATGATGTATCAGCAACGGGATGGGTGTCAAAAGTTTGCTGTAGGGTTCCTCTCCCTGGTTGCGCGTAGGCTCCCGCTAGGAGCAGAGCAATTATAGACGAAAGAATGGATATGGGATGCATAGCTGCCGCGTTCTGTTTTCTGTATAGTGAGGGTCTTATGAAGTGCGATTTTCGAGATCAACAAAGTCCAACTTGCCTCTGAAAGAAGTCTAAGGATGATGGCAATGCAAAAGAGCCTTGCAACACAGTAGGCTTGTCATCTTTATAATGCGTCCGCCGTGTTAGGTGCGGTACCAGCACACTGGAATGCAGAGACGTCACCATGAAGCAGGCAGAGCAACTCAGAGTTGGGGGCCCAACATCGCTGATTTGTATTCGCAGATCGCCGTATGGCGCAAATAACTCTATCCTGGCTGCCTCGTGCAAGGGGCTCGCTGGCATGTGTTCGATGCTTTGGATAGCGACTGGATTAGCGAACGGTGTGGTAGCAGCGAAACGGTGCCGGCCTCAACATGCGGTAAGTTGGTTTTGTCTTGAGAACCGCTGTCGGCACCTTATTTGGTTGGTCTGATGCACTAGTAGTTGTGCGCTCGTACTGAGATAGAGTCCTTGGTGAGATTAAGTACCCAGTATGCTCTGATTCTGTACCTAATAGCAATAAACAGCTCGATTGCAAGATTGGAGAGGCAGACCCCTTACAGCTGCAGATCGCGCTGAGCTTACCTTAAGGCACAGGATGGGGGCCGACTGCTGGAGCGGGTAATCAATGAAGAAGTAGTCACATTAGCCAATATCTATGAAACAGTACCAATACTTCGACTATCACATGTACGAACATCATGACATGTAATGAAAACAAAATGACGACTAAATGAAGGACTTTAGAGCGACAACAGAGGTTAACGGATCGTTGTACGATTTAGCGAACAACCCATAATATGATATCTTGCACTAGGATTATTGTCATATTTACCTTCTGAATATG